TTTGCAAATTGGAACATTTTATATTTACGAAGCATCAAACAAATACTCGTTATAACATCAGGCCCATTATAAAGTGTGCTCGAGTTCTCATATGTCAAGAAAAATCAGTCCACGGCCACGGTAAAAAAAAACGAGTAGCTCATGTTTCGGTACTTTTCCTAATAGCTACATGGTGTTTCTGTCGATTACTATTTTTTATTGGTTATTTAATGTGAAACTATTGATTGAAAACCACTGAAACTTTGTACTGAGGTCAGTCAGAGAGGGGAATTTTGTGCTAGAAAAAGATGGAAAACGTTTTTCGCGAAAAAAATGATTTTTTTTTTCACACTGCGACGTTTTCGACAGCTTTTAAATAGTTCATCAGCACGTTGTGGCAACTAGGCATGTTATCACAGCAGATGAAAAAACTCAATTTATAAAACAAGAAGAGCTGGTTGCTTTGCAAGTAGCACAGCATACTCCAACCATAGTCTTGAAAAAAAAGACCTAAAAAGTCGCTGTGAAATGAAAGGATTTGACAAAAACCAAACTTTAGGCACATTCGACAGTCACAGCAGAAAAGACAAATCGGGCAACAGTTTGCAGAAATTGTTTTGAAGTTGTCTATTCCAAACATAGCCAATCGAAGATTGGAAAAGAGTAAGGAACGCAAGTAAACATAACAAAAAAACACTGACTTTGTTGAAAAAAATCTCAATTTTCGAATTTCAAAAAAAATAGATGCCCTTTAAGCTCTTGAATTTCTAGAAAGATTTACGATTGGCGCTTCTTTGATAACATGAACCCAACTTGAAAAAACTGGATCAATAGATAAAGTTTTAATTCCGAAATCTTAAAAATAAATTTAACCTTTCGAAACTAGAAATCGTGCGTTCGCATTGCGTCACTTTTAGCAGATGAATTTCAATTGAACTCAAAAAAGTGCATTATACCTAAGTGCATCAATTTTTTAGGACTTTTTCCAGAAAAAAAAACAAAAAAAATCAGCAAGACCTATATAAGAGTCTTGTTGTTGTTGTTGTTGTTGATGGAGCTCGTCATAGATGATATGAGGGACGTAAACGTCCTGTTCGGCCAATAAACATTAAAACTTTGTCCGGATTTGTTTGCAAAACTGAGATAATGGGGTTTGAGCCCAAAGTTAACAATCTTTCTTCATTCCATTTATCGCATTTCAGGATGAAATGCTCTGTGTCTTCAACTTCTTCACTGTCACACTGACGGCACTGCGGAGATTCAATACGACCAAAGAGATGCTCAGTTTTAGCTAGGTTACTACATCGATTCACCCGGAGCCTATGCAACAAAACTTCCTCTTCTCTTGAACGATTAGTTGAATGCTCCAAAGCCATGCCATTACAAATTCGTCTGTGTAAGTGATCTTCGTCCACTTTTTGCCGGTAATCTTCTAGTGTCACTTCTTCTCTATTCGTCAGAATAAACTCTTTCGTACTGAGATTTTCTGGTTTATCTTGGATCATCTTTCTAGCGGTAACTCTCCAGTCCGGACGAAATCTGCTATCCCCTCTCGCTTTCAGTCTCTGAGGCGGGCCGTCATCTGTCAAAAGATGCAGATGATGATCTATCGGGAACCGGAGGAACTTACTGTACAAAATGGCTGCCTTTTCGTCACTGTACTGCTTCAACGAAGAAAGCCTTGCCTCAGCGCGAGTAGCGACGGCATTGGAACTTGCTGGCGTGCCACAAATAATTCTTGCTGCTCTGTTGTTGCATGCCTCCAATTTATTCCAATTCGAGTCCGAGAGAAAAGAACCCCAAACTTCACTGGCGTAAAGTGCTCCTGGCTTGACATAGGCATTATACAATCTTCTAAGGTCAGTGGATGTCAGACCCCAGTTCTTCCCTGACAAACTAGAAAGCAGTTGTGTCCTTTTCCTCATCTTCTTCACCATGATGTTTGTGTGTTCGGAAAACGTCAATATCTGGCAGGGGATATCGGCTTGCTATTTGGGAAGCCTTCACGTGGCGGCAGGTGTGGATCCTTGCAGAAGGATCTCAAATTTCCCATACCAAAGAGTGTTTGGCCAAAACACATGGAAACCAGTGCGGGTTTTTGCTGAAGCACCATAGTGACCCCGATCTATGGTGGCTTCTAATTCTGGCAGGGGATATAAGAGTCTTCACTACGTTCATTACTCTTAAAAATGGCAGGGAACTCAAAAGATTTTTACTGGAGTAAAGCTAAAATTTCATCGCCTAAATTTCTATAATAAGCCTGCTCGCTTGCTTTACTCGCTCGAAATGAGACAAACTCAAAAATTTCAGAACGATTTATCTCACAGTCGTTCGAATCAGAACTGAAAGAGCTTTAATATGATAAATCACTCCACCCATTACGATGATTACTCGCTCGCAATAAAATAAACTCAAAATTGTAGGAACGGTTTTTCTCGACACTGTCGGTCGAATCAGAACTGAAAGAGCTTTAATATGATAAATCGCTCCATCCATTACGATGATTATTTGTGGCCAATGCTTTTGGTTGAAAAAAAAAACAAGCCGGCTCGCTCACCGTATTCGCTCGAAATTAGACCAAAAACTAAAAACTTCAAATGCGTTTTTCTCGAATCTAAAAATTTTCTAATTTCGTTTGAATGGTATTCACACATTTCGCCCCTTTTAAATCTAGTGGCACATTTCGCCCTTCATAAATTACTGGCACATTTCGCCCCTAAAATGTACATTAAGAAAGCGGCGTTACTTAACTGTGTAATAAGTTAGGGGCGAAACGTGCGAGGACGAAATGTGTGAAATTATAAGGGGCGAAACGTGCCACTAGATTTAAGAGGGGCGAATTGTGTGTGGGGCGAAACGTGGGACATTCTGTTTGAATACCGGCTGAAAGAGGTTGCTTAATAAGAAAAATCACTCGACCCTTTCTGATGCTTACTTGGGATGGGAAAATTTCAACTTTCGAACTTTAAAGAAAAAACGGATGCCCTTTATGCTCTTTGAACTTCTAGAACAATTTATGATTGACACTTTTTTTATTTATTTTTAGATAAATAGATAAATTTATAAAAAAAATCTTATTCCTCTGGTAAATCTGAACATTAAATTCCACTTTCGAAAGTAGAAGTCGATCATGTTTTACGTGCTGTTCGATAACGGACTTTTATACTTGTGCTGTTCGAGATAAGAGTTTGCCTTGCTTTTAACAAACGACATGAACTGAACTTAAAAAGAAATCACAAGTTAAACCACGAAAGTTTGAGCCTGAACAAAAAAAACAAAGAAATGATCAGCGCTGATATAAGAGTCTGTCTGAACTACGTTCATCGACTTTAAAACAAAAAAGAACACGATTGGTTTCCAATTGAAAGTGAAAAATTATAGTTCAAGTTTCGACAACACATCAAACACGATTTACAAAGGCAACCAGGAAATGCATGATAAATTTAATAAATTTATACAGCAACATGAGAAAATGATACTAAACAGTTTTAAACCTGATTTTGTTTTGGTTTTTAGTCAACAATTATGTCATCATAAGTAATAAACTGAAATCAAAATACAGCAAAGCCTGGTTTAAAGCCTGGCTTAAAAACTTTGCAAATCTACGCCACTTTGAAAGCCGACTGGTTCACTAAGTTGAACCTCGCTTTACAAACAAACAAGTTTTTAGGACCAATTTTGGTCAGAAAAAGAATGCTAAATATACTTCTGACGATGACGATGATTTAATGATGCACTGCTTTTAAAAAAAGTTGAAAATGTCTTGAAAATGTGAAAGTAGGAGCAGCAGAAAAAAGGCGTAACCTTTTCAGCCGCGCGTAGGTTCCATATATTGGTTTGCTACCGCAGCTTCCAAACACAGTCCACAAGTCGGGACAGTTTTAGCTAACACAGTGACAAGTTAATCGGCTTAAATGATAAAGCTTTATTAGGGAATAGAGGAACCTGTTAAGTTTAATTCGATCATTTGCGCGGTTTCAAAATATAGCTAGAGGTGGTACAAAACCGAAAAAGCAACGAATAATAGTTTGAAAACAAATAAATATATTTATTTTTCTTGACAAATGCTGCATTGATCACACAAGGGATTTAAGTCTATGGGCTTAACTCATCGAATAAAATCACAGTAGAATTATATGAATGGTATGAAGGCTTTATTCAGGCTCACATGATTGTGCGACTTCAACTTAATGACCTTTATAGAACTATTTTAAACATTGAAGGTTACCTTCATGCGTCGTGCGCGAAGACATTGAAAAGGTCGCATAAATTTTGAGATTATTATGAAGCAAAACAACGTATAGAAAAAAATGAACCGAAAGCAATACAGTCATCAAAACTACAGCCATTTAAAGACTCGTCACTCTAAAATGGTCTTATTATTCGGCAAATTATTCAGAATGTGTTTTTTCGACACCGAGAAAAATTTCGAATTTAAAGAAAGAGCTTAAATTATGACTGAAAGAGACTTCAGCATGATCGAAACAGAACTTGCTCACGAGAATACTCTAAATTGAAATGAGAAAAAGTCTAGCTTCCGATTGCAACCTTAAGTTCAAAACTTGAAAATGGAAAGAGTCGCTATAATAAAAACAAGTTGGAACAGACAAAAATAATTAAAAAGAGCAATCTGCCAATTTTGAGCAAATTATGCATGCAAATTTGACTTTTTTCTTGACCTTGAGACATATTTTCCGTCTGAGAATAATAGTTAGAAAACAAATATATATATTTAATTTTTCTTGACACATGCTGCATTGATCACACAAGGGATTTCAGTCTATGGGCTTAACTCATCGAATAAAATCACAGTAGAATTATATGTTATATGAATGGTATGAAGGCTTTATTCAGGCTCACATGATTGTGCGACTTCAACTTAATGACATTTATAGAACTATTTTAAACATTGAAAGTTTGTCTCAAATAAGTCATTTGCTCTTTTTAATTAATTTTGTCTGATACAGAAAATATTAAAACATTAGGGCAATCACCTTGTGCTACTGTGCAGTTCAACTTACTTGAAATCAAGAAGAATAGAAGCAGTTTGCATTCGTAAAATTTGGTCATTTTGGAACGCGGTTTTTTATTGAACCCCTAAAACTCAATCGATTCAATTAGCAAAGGTTAGGTGTAAACTGTTGCAGAAAAATCAATGACGATCAGCGTGGTAAACTAGACGATTAAAAGGATATTTGCAGTTGAGCAGATTACAGCCGACATATGAGGAGGTAGTTAAATCTGGCTCAACTGAACTTTTCTGCCGTCCCTGTTCAACTGTACTGCAGAGGCGTTCACATGAATTCACTTCCGCTGTCATAAAATACTAATTAATAATTCATAACCCGATTTGTACAACACGGTAGAAATAAGTAATTCTAGGTGAGATCGAGGAAGAACTTGAGCACGTCCGAGTCCACCAATCAAATTACCTCAGCAATTTCTATGGCGAATATTTAAAATGGCTCAACATAAAATTAAAGACCGGGCTAAGTTTAAAAATCGGTTTGAGCAGCAATAAAAATGCGGGATTGGACAGTGGCTCAAAACACGATGGCCGCTGTGTGATTGGTGTTTGAAAATTGAAAGGTACAAATCCGGATTTAGGTAACAATATAAAAGGCAATCAATACAGTAGCGATCTCTGATTGACAGATTAAGTATGTGGCGAGAATGCAACTCCGGTCGCCGCTGCTGTTCTACCCGATTGAAGAAGCAAGTGGAGCTCAAAAGAAAGACAAGAATAGCTGTATTGTGGATAAGTAATAAAAAATAAACCAAGTTACAGCATCGAAATGATCCAACCAGATATCTGCGGACATGCAACAGTGAAAGATGAGTTAGCTTATGAAGTATATAATCGGATAACAAGACTGGTTTACGATGTCGCGCCAAATGGGTCTGGCTGTCACTCTCTCGCCAGGCAATGACAAAGATCTTATGGGTCAAAACTCGAGAACAATAAAACAATTTGACCTTTATTGCAGAAAAGCAGAATACTGGAAAGGATTATGTGGGTGTGTAACTATGTTTAGTCGAATTACAATTCCAGATTTCGAGTTAGATGATAATGTTGAGGAATTTTTCGCAGCCGGCTGTGGGTAATGAAAGTGAGGAGGGTACTGAAAAATGAACAAGACGCGAAGCTGACATTATCAAGTGAGAATACTAATAGTAATGTTGCTCAGTAGGTAGACTGTGAGTTGCTTATCATCGTGTCACGCGAAGCTACGCTATTCAGACAACATAAACAGACGTATTTCACATGGTGCTAATGGCAACACAACTGCAGTTAAAACGTGCTTTGCGGCGATTGTTTCAGATTTGATCGAACCCCGGGGCACAAGCGGGGATTAGAAAATGGGTAAAGAAATCTAGCCAAGCACAAAAGGGGATGACTATTCAATTGGAAGAAATGATCGCATAGATAATTGGCGCAAGCCTACAGGAATTTGAGTGGTGAAGATAGTTAATTTTTCGTGAATCCTCTCAAATCATTAGTGATCAAAAAGCAATCACAGCAATTTTGCAGTTCGAAATGCAATGTGGAAAATGACTCCAACAGGAGAAAACCGATCAATGATAAACAAAAGCTTGCAGAAAATGTATTGCTGTAAAACCCATTAGTTAAACATAGAATCAATGGTTGTAAAAATGGTAAGTAACTTGCAGGTTCTGATTTAAAAACAGTTGAAAATACTGAAAAAAAATACAATTTTTTTTTTTCAAAAATGAAGTAGGTAAATAATTGAGGGACAAAATCTGATATCAATTTCAAAACTGGCTCTTTTCAGTTGAAATTTAACAAGGTTATTTGAAAAGAGTGAAGAAATATAAACCAACTTTATTTACAACCGACAAATCGAATTTCTATTCGCGGAAACAACTCACCTTTAAAATATGCTAAGGTAAATACAAGAGGATAAATCTTCAAAAAAGGATGCGAAAAAAGGTTGCACAGTGAAAACAGCAAAATAAAAGAGCAAATTTAAGGCAATAAATTTGTTTGGAAAAAATTGAGGAGTAACTTAAGAAGAGAGGAGAGAGGACTTTATGTCCCGGCGAGGGAGGTGAGATGTCGCCTTCTTCTAGAGGACTGAGACCAGGATGAAATGAAGAGGGCGCGGCACAACAGAGTCAAGATTGCACTCAGGACTCCTCACTGAAAGGCTCATGTATTTAAACATATCCACCAAACTATTAATTGAGTCTATTTTGCACCCGCAAAATTGCAAAAAAAACTGAACTTTAGGTCTACCGAGGCATTTGATTGGTATTAGAAAGACACCATTTATTAAGGTAATCATTCAATTAAAAAACAAAATCAATGTGGAACGACCTAGGACTGTTTATAATTGAAACCAAGCAGAGACGGTAAATGAAAAAAGAAAAACTCATCACCAGTAAGCATTACCAAATCAAATCAGCTTCGAATCATAGCTCCAATCATCTGCTAGCAACTCCATAGAATTCAAATTAAATATTTCCTCATAAAAGAGCGCATGTGAACTAAGAACGCACCGTAAGTGGCATTGCAATAAAATTTCAGCCTATCATCATTAAATATCACTGCTTAGCAAACGACAAAAAATTTCAATCCCCGCTTCTAATTTATTTTCTCTCCCTCCTCTTTGAAACAGTTTGGAGCAATCTGATTAAAAAGCGTCGAGTTAAAGCGGTAATCAATTTAAGATTAAACTCGAGAAGGCAGGGGGATTAAAGGAGAACTATCAAAGTGACTAGACGAAGTCGAAGACACTAAAATGCATGCAGTAGACACCTGATATCTGAAGCAATCCAAATACAACCACAACGAAGGGAGGAATTGCTCGAAATATCTGCTGATCCGCGCCGAAAAAAGTCGGTCAAATCAATTTTACGATATATTTTTATATTCATAATTACATCACAGAAATATATTTATTTCTTCCAGGAAAGCTGAAAAAGCATCTGCCGATTTTTTTCCGAGTTGGGTTAAACTGTTCTAAAATCTCACCAGCAGCGCGTGAAGAGACTGTTTTTATCGCCGAACACTGCCTGAATTGATACAACTAAAAAAATCAGTTTAAAAACTTCTACCTATTAAATATAAGCCTCAATCTAAAACCGATACCACAAGTGTTCTCTGTATTTGGCAAATAACAGAACGCAAAAGTGATCCTTTAATTCAGTACGAACTAAAATATTTTTATGTTAATTTGAATTTATTAATTGAGTTAGCAAAACCGATAACGTTTTTTGACGGTCATAACAGGTTTATCAGCATCGATTTTTCTATTTCAGAATAAGAAGAAGAATTAATTTCTCGTTGTTACATAACGTCATAATAAAGCAATTATAAAAAACAGATTTTGCCGATATTCAAACATTCTTCTCCAATTTCTTTTAATTATACGAACATAACCAATAGACAGAAGAAAAAGAACCATGAACGCAAGTGGAGTTTGCCTTCCTTTTAACAAAAGCAATGAACTGAACTTAAAGCAAAATCAAAATTCAAACCGCAAAAAAAATCAAATTTGAGCATGAACAAACTTAGACGGTTTTCCTGAAAAAAAAACATCAAGACCTATGTTCATGACTACGTTCATGACTCAAAAACAATATTTAGAAAAATAAAAGAATCAAGGCTCTATTATGATGAAAGTTCACTTCGTTCACCAATAGTGAAACAATTCACTTGAACCTTCCCAGAAAATTTCATACGATTACAAAATTTACGCACACAAAAATAGCATTACAATCTAGCGAAAGAAAAACAAACGATATCCACTAAGTTGAAAAACTTTGAAAAAACTGCAATTACAAAATTCCAAAAATTGCCTCCAAAATTTTCAATTTGAGGAAGGCAACACAATCGCCGGAAATTAATTAACAAACCTTTTATCAAGCGGCAACTAAGCCAACAAAACTCAACGCCTGTTGAGCCAAAATTTTTAACGAAAAACTTTGAGCTATTAAGTTCTGCTATTTTAACACTTTACACCCTTCGGACACACAAAAGCTTAAAAGGCAGCTTTTTCTTTCTCTTAAGCGACTCGAAACACGGCCACTAAGCCAATATAACACAACCATTCAGGCCGATTAGGGCGTTTGAGCGAAAAAAAAAATTATACGAAATCAAGGGTTCGTAGATTGACAAATTTAACAAATAAAAATCACGTGCGATTACAATTAAATTGCTTACAGCCCAAAAATCCCCAACTACGGCAACTTACGTGACAAAACAGACACACAGACGATAATTCGACAATTTTTTGAAACGGGGAAATTCGCAGAAAAAAAACAGGTCCTGGCCGGTATCATACCTAGGACCTTTGCCATCCCAGGCGTGATTGTTATTTTGGCCTTGTTGGCCCAAGAAGCTAATGAAATTGAAGTTAAAACAAAGAGGCGAAGATGAGCTTGCCTCACTTGCGACACAAAAGAAAAAGAAGCAGCTAAGTTAGAAAAAAAGGAAATGCCGAAAAGACTAGATCTATCAAAATGAACTAGCTCGTCAATCGCACCTCCGGTGCTACAAAACTAAGTCTTCAGAAAACAGACAAATCAAAATTCTAGAAAATAAAAGGATTTGAGCAGTCATGATTGGACACCAGATTTGCAAACCCTAAATGGACCCTGACAAAACCCCACTATAGGGTTGAGAAATTCAAAATCGGTATGTTTTTTTTATATCTTAATTTTTTGACAAAAAATGAAGAAAAAAAAAATCATAAAAAACGCCATGTCTCGAAAACTAAAAGGATTAGGGCAGTTATACTTCGACTCCAGTTTTGCAAACCCTGAATGTACACTGACAACAACCCTCTATAAGGTTGAGAAATTCAAGTGCGGTCATCTTTTTTATATCTAAGCTTTCTAGACAAAAAAAAATGAAAAAATCATGAAAAACGCAATTTCTCGAAAACCAAATAGATTTGAGCAGTCAAACTTGGACTCCAGACTTGCCACACCTGAATGTACACTGACAGCAACCCACTATAAGGTTGAAAAATTGAAGTTCGAAGCTTTTTTTTATCTAGTTTTTTCTATATCTCTTTTTTTCAACAAAAAAAACATGAAAAAATCATAAAAAAACACCATTTCTCGATTACAAAAAGACTTTGAGCAGTCATACTTGGACTCCAGATATAAAATGCCTGACTGTACCCTGACAGCAACCCATTAAAAGGTTGAGAACTTCAAATTCGGTTATTTTTTTTATATCCTCGTTTTTTTTGAAAAAAAAACATGAAAAAAATCATAAAAACGCCATTTCTTGAAAACCAAAAGGATTTGAGCAATTATACTTGGACTACAAATTTGCAACCTCCGAATGCACCCTAACAACACCCCACTATAGGGTTGAGAAATTGAATTTTGGTTAATTTTTTTACATCTAAGTTTTTTTTTTTGAAAAAAAAATTGAAAAAATCATAGAAAACGCAATTTCTCGAAAACCAAAAGGAATTGAGCAGTCATACTTGGACGCCATATTTGCAACTCCTGAAAATATTCTGACAGCGCCCCGCTATAGGGCTGAGAAAGTCAAGCTCGGTTAGTTTGTTGTAACTTATTTTTTTATATCTAAATTTTTTTGAATAAAAAAACATGAAAAAATCATGATGAAAACTCCATATCTCGACAACCAAAAAAAATTTGAGCAGTCATAGTTGGACTCCAGATTTGCAAATTTTGAATGTACCCTAACCGCACCCCACTATAGTGTTGAGAAATTGAAGTTCGGTTAATTTTTTTACATCTAAATTTTTTTGAAAAAAAAAAATGAAATATTCATAAAAAACGCAATTTCTTGAAAAACAAAAGGATTTGAGCAATCATACTTGGACGCCATATTTGCAATCTCTGAATGTACCCTGATAGCATCCCACTATAGCGTGGGGAAATTCAAGTTCGGATAGTTTTTTTACATCTAAGTTTTTTGGGAAAAAAACTAAAAAATCACAAAAAATGCAATTACTCTAAAACCAAAAGAATTTGAGCAGTCTTACCTGGAAGCCAGTTTTGCAACTCTTGAAAGCACTCTGACAGCGCCCCACTATAGGGCTGAGACATTCAAGCTCGGTTAGTTTGTTGTATCTTAATTTTTTATATCTAGATTTTTTTTATATCTAGATCGAGACATGGCAAAAAAATCATAAAAAACTCCATATCTCGGAAACCAAAAGGATTTGAGCAGTCATAGTTGGACTCCAGATTTGCAACTTCTGATATCACCCTGACAGCACCCCACTATAGGGTTGAGAAATTGATGTTCGGATAATTTTTTTATATCTAAGTTTTTTTGAAAAAAAAAAAGAAAAAATCATAAAAAACGCAGTTTCTCGAAAACCAAGAAGATTTCAGCAGTCATACTTGGACGCCAGATTTGCAACCCCTGAATGTACCATGACAGCACCCCACTATAGTGTTGAGAAATTGAAATTCGGTTAGTTTTTTAATATCTAAATTTTTTGAAAAAATAAACTATAAAAAACAGAAAAACGCCATATCTCGAACAATATAAGGATTTGAGCAGTTATACTTGAACGCCAGATTTGCAACCCCTAAATGTACCCTAACAGCACCCCACTATATAGGACTGTATAGAACGTATGTATATATAAAATTTTCAAATCTTGCAATTTTTTGGCCTTTGAACAGACCAACAGACTTAAACAAAAGCCAAATGAAATTTCTTAAGCATTTTAACTAACGGTATAGCTTAAACATACAAAAACATTTTCTTTCAATATGCAAAAAATAAAACGTTGAAAAAACTTAAACATGCAAAAATAGGGACTTCTTAAACACGTCAACTAAGGGACTTCTTAAACATGTGTCACGTGAAACGCCAATTAAATAATAGATAGATAGATAAGGTTAGTTTTGAAACATGCCAAGACAATAGCATGTGAAATGAGTATCGGAAGAATATTTACCAACCGGTAACAAAGCCAAAAAAAACTTAACAGAAACCCTTTCATGCCGAAAAAAAAACAACAAGACTAAAGACTTATAAAAAGTTAATAAGTCCCCCTCACCCTCGAAACACACACACACACACACATAAGTTTCTTTGCTCGTCAAATGAAAACAAAATTAGTGGCCATTGAGCCGATATTAAAAACACCGAAACCTACAGAGCCGAAAACAAAAGATAAAGAAAAAAAGCTGAAAAAAAATCAATGAATTTTTTAAGAAAAAAGCCGAAAAAAATTGTTGTCATATAAAAGTTATACTTCTATTAAGATTTTCAGCTTTTTTGCAATCCAGAGGGGATTGCAAAAAAAATCTTGCCTCTTTGAAACTACTCAAACATGATCACTACGTCAAAAATTATTAGGAAACCATTTGAGCACAAAAAAAAACGGAACGAAAACATATGAAGGCAAGATTAGTATAATTACAAGCAGCAGAAAAAATTAGAACAAATAAGCAACTACAGTTAAAAAGAAAACAATTCTACGATGTGGCAACTTAAGTCAAACATAAGCATTTAAATAATATGCGGACACTTTTCTTTGAAACGGAATAATTCCGGTTTAAAAAAAAACAGGTCCTGTCAGATTCCAACCCAGGACCTTCGCCGTCCTAAGCTTATTTGTTACATGCGGATCCAATGAACCGAGGACTCGAAATTTGAATATATCATGTACTGAACTCAAATTTACCATTTTTAATTTTGACCATTCTGTGAATAAAGTTATTTACAGGAAAAAAAAGTCTAGTACCCGATTGCAATACCTTTGCTTATCGCAAGGTTAATAAATCAAGCTATCAAATGATTCAATGATTCTTTTAGACGCGTTAAAATTTATATTCCAGTTTGATAGCTCTTGCTTATTTTGCATTTACTGTGGTACTTAGCGATCACTTTGACATAGTCAGATCGTGTATTCGATCCCATGCCATGGCAATGATAGTGTGTGAGGATGAGCTCTCACTTGACCTTTAGCTTCAGGTCTACCGCAGCCTGACAAATTTCGGCTGCAATAGTGGCACCAAATGAAAAATCTGGACAAAAAAACGGCCGTGAATCCCCAAAAAGTACTTCGATCAAAAAAATAACACAGTCTGGAATGAGGGGATATAATACAAAGGGACACAGGATTGAATGAGGGGAGATAATAACACCGGCAGGACTTTTAAGGCCTACTGATAGCTCCTTTGCGATTCGCAGTAACCACGTTATTATATATTATTTAGGCTTTTGAAATTTCCTTTTACATCTTCGATTATTTTTTTATATCCTCGTTTTTTTGAAAAAAAAAAATGAAAAAATCAAAAAAACGCAATTTCTTGAAAACCAAAAGGATTTGAGCAGTCATACTTGGACGCCAGATTTGCAACTCCTGAAAATACTCTGACAGCTCCCCCACTATAGGGCTGAGAAATTCAAGCTCGGTTAGTTTGTAGTATCTTATTTTTTTATATCTAAATTTTTTTGAATAAAAAAACATGAAAAAATTATAAAAAACTCCATATCTCGAAAACCAAAAGGATTTGAGCGGTCATAATTGGACTCCAGATTTGCAACTTTTGAATGTACCTTAACAGCACCCCACTTTCAGTTTGAGAAATTGAAGTTCGGCTAATTTTTTTACATCTAAGTTTTTTGGAGAAAAAAAACTAAAAAATCACAAAAAATGCAATTACTCTAAAACCAAAAGAATTTGAGCAGTCCCACTTGGACGCCAGATTTGCAATACCTGGATGTACCCTGATAGCATCCCACTATAGGGTGGGGAAATTCAAGCTCGGTTAGTTTGTTGTATCTTAATTTTTTTTATCTAGATTTTTTTGAATAAAAAAACATGAAAAAATCATAAAAAACTCCATATCTCGAAAACCAAAAGGATTTGAGCAGTCATAGTTGGACTCCACCCTTTTAAGCTTAACAGAAACCCTTTTATGCCGAAAAAAACAACAAGACTAAAGACTAATAAAAAGTTAATAAGTCCCCCTCACCCTCGAAACACACACACACACACATAACTTTCTTTGCTCGTCAAATAAAAACAAAATATGAGGCCACTGAGCCGATATTAAAAACACCGAAACCTACAGAGCCGAAAACAAAAGATAAGGAAAAAAAGCTGAAAAAAACAATCAATTTTTAAAGAAAAAAGCCGAAAAAAATTGTTGTCATATAAAAGTTATACTTCTATTAAGATTTTCAGCTTTTTTGCAATCCAGAGGGGATTGCAAAAAAAATCTTGCCTCTTTGAAACTACTCAAACATGATCACTACGTAAAAAATTATTAGGAAACCAATTGAGCACAGAAAAAACGGAACGAAAATATATGAAGGCAAGATTAGTATAATTACAAGCAGCAGAAAAAATTAGAACAAAAAAGCAACTACAGTTAAAAAGAAAACAATTCTACGATGTGGCAACTTAAGTCAAACATAAGCATTTAAATAAAATGCGGATACTTTTCTTTGAAACGGAATAATTCCGGTTTAAAAAAAACAGGTCCTGTCAGATTCCAACCCAGGACCTTCGCCGTCCTAAGCTTATTTGTTACCTCCAGATCCAATGGACCGAGGACTCGAAATTTGAAAATATCATGTACTGAACTCAAATTTACCATTTTTAACTTTGACCATTCTGTGAATAAAGTTATTTACAGGAAAAAAAGTCTAGTACCCGATTGCAATACCTTTGCTTATCGCAAGGTTAATAAATCAAGCTATCAAATGATTCAAAGATTCTTTTAGACGCGTTAAAATTTATATTCCAATTTGATAGCTCTTGCTTACTTTGCATTTACAGTGGTACTTAGCGATCACTTTGACATAGTCAGATCGTATATTCGATCCCATGCCATGGCAATGATAGTGTGTGAGGATGAGCTCTCACTTGACCTTTAGCTTCAGGTCTACCGCAGCCTGACAAATTTCGGCTGCAATAGTGGCACCAAATGAAAAATCTGGACAAAAAAAAACGGCCGTGAATCCCCAAAAAGTACTTCGATCAAAAAAATAACACAGTCTGGAATGAGGGGATATAATACAAAGGGACACAGGACTGAATGAGGGGAGATAATAACACCGGCAGGACTTTTAAGGCCTACTGATAGCTCCTTTGCGATTCGCAGTAACCACGTTATTATATATTATTTAGGCTTTTGAAGTTTCCTTTTACATCTAGAAATTTATCATTTGATATGATTATATAATAGTTTAGATGCGTGTAAATAAAATACCCCTTAATTAGCTCAAACTTCTCAGAAAAGCTGATAGCAGATCTCAAATTTATCCAATCAGAAAATAGCTAATTTCGACCTGGCACTAAAACTCTGGCCAGGGGGTCCTCAGGATTTCGACCCCCTGCCGACCCAAAGCCCCCCTTTGTACTGTTTTGAGATATCCAATTTTCGCTAAAGGACCCGACAATTTTTCTTACGGCGCCTTTGGCGCCAATATAAACTAATTTTGAGGGGAAAGCGCACGCCAAAAAAACGCAATTTTTTATCAAAGTTTTCCAAAGGTACCCAAAAATGCCTTTTTTCAAAAATTCCCCTTTTTTCCAGGATGAATCAAGACTTGATAACAACTTGAACTAGAACCTGTCATGATGGCTCATTTCATTTTCTTAAACTTTTTAAAGTATACCGAGTTCGTAATTGAAACAAAATAAGATATGACACTAGGTGTCGGCGTGACGGTCTTATAAAACATGAAGATTTTTGAAAATAATTATATTATATGAGCTCAATTGAATCTCTATAGATTTTACGGCCCAGCAGTTAACACACTTAACACAATACAGCAGCACTTGGTCTGGACAAGAAAGAATTTACATTAGGACAGTGTTTACTTTGCGCGCCTTATATTCTACCGCACCCAATAAACTGGGCGCCGCTGGAAGGAAATAGCACCCCCCTAATGACACTTCGGCTACATTTTGGTCACGCTTCAAGACTTGGGTAGTAGGTAGAATTAATATCAGAAGACAAACAGGTCAACTACAGAGGGGAATATTGGAAACCCATGACACTCCTTCTTGCTTCTTGCTTTTTTCTCTCTCTCTCTCTCTCATGAAATATTCATGCAAAAGAGCGCTAGCACGGTCAAAAAGGGAATGCCCAATTACAAAAAACCGTATTATGAAATAATCATAGAAAAAATATATGCACTACAACCTTAAGTTATCCAAGACAAAAACAAGAAAAACACTCAATAAGTGTTAAATTTCATTTTACAAAAGTATCAAAATTGCTGCTAATTAATCTATTGCACATATATCATTCATTAACAAAAATGAAACTTCATTCTAGCTCAACTATCTCAATCAATTGGCCCCAAGAAGGTCCACTTTTGACTTTGACAGGTAATTTAACCTTCAGCTTTTTGCTGAGCACCAACTGCATTTCGTGTCGGATGAGAGCCACAACTTCGGGAAGAAATCGCTTCTCAACTTCATAAATGACTTCATCGTGAAGATGCAGCACTAATACACAGAATCTATCCGATTCTTTGGCTCTACTTTCGGCATTGAAACAAGTTCTAAATCCATTACAAACCAGCTGTCTATTTATATTAACAATGGCCAGCTTCAAAATTTCAGAGGCTGATCCTTGAATGCGTGAATTTACAGCTTGTCGCTCCGCGTGTGACCTCTTCTGAGCTTTCTGACTATTAACCTCAGGCAAGTTTCTCTTTCGCCCGCAAATGGTCTGTACGTACTCGTGCTTCTGACAGAACTCAATTGTGGCGTCCACAAAATCAAACAAAGCTGGGAACGCCATTCTAAAGGATCGGATAAATTTCTCCGCATCACTGACCGACGTTCCCAGTTGTTCCGAGAGTGCTTTAGCTCCCATTCCGTAAACTATTCCATAGCACATCTGTTTTGCATTGTTCCGTTCTAGTTCAGACACCTTGTCTAGCTTCACATCTTTCCACACACTGGCTATGCTTTTGAACACGTCGCCGCCTCCATTTAAAAATTCTAGGAGAGTTTCATCGCCTGAAAAATGGGCCAATATTCGTAACTCTAATTGCGAATAATCAGCTGCAACAAGGGTGAAATCTTCAGAGCAGGGAATGAACAAGTCTCGGCAGTTCAGTTCTGTGAACTCTTTGTCGTTGCTTAGCGATCGATTTCGAGTGGATCTTCTTCTAAGTTTTCTCGGACTCAGGTCTAGGAGAGAAAACGATTTTGGCACGTTTTGAATATTTGGTTCCTTGAACCTCATTCTACCGGTCTCTGATAAGGAATCACATGTGCATTTCAGTCTTCCATCCTGACTGATCAGACGGGAAAACGAACTCAATTTAGCCAGTAGTATTTTGATTTTTCGGAACTCAATAATTACACTCGGAAGAATGTGGAACTCTTTTAGCTTCATTAAGGTCTCATTCCTCGTGTTAAATTCCGGGGGAAGTTTCAGTTTTCCGTTGATTCTTTTCGATTTCAAATCAGACCTCTTCAGCCCAAGAACTTGCTGGAAATTCGACCCTGGCTTCATGTTTTCCAGATCCCCATTTGGCGGTAACTTCAGGTCGAAATAAAGAGCAAAACCAACATCTTCAGGTGAGCCCAAATCGAACTCTTTAACAGTAAAAGAGCGCGCAAAATGTTTTAGCTTCTGGATTCGAGCAATACAAAATTCTTTCATGTTTCTGAATTTATTGCTCGAAACTAAAAACCCAGTGTGCTCTAATTGATAATTCATAAGCTGTATTTTAGACTCGACGCGATTGAAATAAGATTCCAATGACAAACTCTGAAGTTTTTTATTCACGAGTCTATACAACCGCGCTGCCAAAACCGAAAGAACAGCGCAAATATTGCGGTTAATTGTCTCGTTTTGATTTGAGTAAAATCCCTGTATCTTCGTGGTCAAAGTTTTCCAAATTTTGACGCCGCATAGTTCCTCCCAATCGAAACCGGGATCAACGGCTGAACATATTTCGGCAACTGATAATCCGCTAGTACCCATATCTTTCTCACAGCTGTTCAAAACCCACCAAGCAAGACCCAAATCAAACAGTGGTCGTTCAGGCATCACGTCAAACATCGAACTAATTGAGCTCAAGACTCTTTTGCCGTCAAAACACACTACAGTATTACTGCGAATTAGAGACGAAAGTTTATTGAGTATATTCGATTCTTTTACAATTTGCTTGTCGAATTGATTTATGCGAAGATAGTAGGCAGTGAGCGGATCGTCAGGAGCACACATGCAAATGACCACTTCGGCCCGTGCAGGGCGATTACATAAATCAAGGCTACCTTTTTTGGTCTCGTAACCTGAGCCAGTTACCAAATCATTGCATTCTTTAGATTCATCATTGGATAAGGATACGTAAACTGACATTGAAAGACCGCACGATTGTTCCAGATTTTTCAGACTCTTTTCAAAATCTGGATCTCCTTCCCATATCAATTTTGTTTTGTATTTACCCATTGGTTCATTTATACACTGCTCTGAATACTGGTTAGTCGCCGTAATTCTTGCAAGATCAATGGCCACTTTCTGTGGCGTGACTGGGTCTTCGATGGGCTCTTCGCAAAAACTGTGTTTGGCATCTATAGTTTCGAACAGTGCCTGTGTCAGCATGTCTGAATCAAGCAACATGCTACTTTCACTCGGCTCGAACACGCGAGGAGTCCTGTTGTTTGACACTGCCGAGCGGGTCAAATGTAGATTTACGTCTTCATCCAGAGTAGAGTTCAACTGATTTGGCGGCAGTTCGTCAAAGTCCTCGAACAAAACATCTTGACTGCTTTTGATCTGATCGAATCGGAGGAACTTCAGATCTTCATCGTCCGTGTTCGAAGAACTGGATTGTGAAGAAGTGGGTTCCAAATCGTTTCCCAGAAGCAATTTCTGTTTAACCTCAGCTACCTTTCCAAGTATTTCATCGTCTTCATCCTGAAAGCTCGATTCGTAAGTTTTGTTAGAGAATTCCACATAACTTTCCTCTATATTGTTTTCCACTGTTTCTTGGTTCGAAAACAATTCACCTGAAAATCGTTTATCAGTTACTTTTTCCAAAATTTGTGTTTCCGCAGTGACTTTTACCAAATTACTCGAAACGCTTTCAATTCCAATCGACTGGAATTGTTTGACGTTGTTTTCTGGTGAAGCGACTGTCATGTCACTCGTTTTAGTTTTTGCCGCAACTACGTAAAGGTCGTTTTCTGTAAGCTGCTGGATCAAACTGTCTGTTAAAATTTGTCTGCTCTTCTCAGAATGGTCAAACGATACTTCGAAACTTGCCGCACTAAGGTACTCGGCTTTTTGGGGAGCCAAATTTTCTAGATTTTCAGCAATCACTTTTTGGGAATCAATTTTGGCCTTTTCTGGAGGTTTCAATTCACCTATACTAGACTGAAGTTTTGGTTCTTGCGGAGTATTGAAAACAAGTTTTCCATTCAATATTGCGGGATGAGCTTTCGTCTTTGACTGAAAAGGGGTCGAGCTCATTTCTATGTCGTCTTTCCGAAAGGAAGAATCTAGAGCAGGTACAATACTAGAGCTTCGTGACCGCTTTTGTGAAATCAAATTTTTTCTACTAGATACGTCTGCTAACATTTTATCTGTCTGAATTGTTACAGCTGATTTTTCCGCACTATCAGTAATTTTAGATACATTTGAATTTTTGAGCGCAATCTTCGCAGTTGAAACATCCACAGGAACTACTTTGTTGTTTGACTCATTGTGAGACCTGGTTTCTGACAACTTAGCTTCCAAACTACTTCGCTTAGCTGGAGGCTCCGCTTGCGAGCCACTATCAGTATTCTTGACCAGCGAAGAACTTCTTGCGAGTGGCGATTCATTCGACTTACTTTTTGACCGCGTCTTTTTTCGTCTTCTGGTCCGATTTGAAATTGGAGATTTAATCTGCTTAGATGGAGTTTTAGACTTCCTGCTCTCAGTAGAATGATCGAGTTCAAATAGTGACTTCTCTATCAGAGACACTCTACTTTTTCGCCGAGAAGTGTTATTTGAACTTGCTGATCTATCCAGTCGACTCGACTCATTTCTGAGATTCCTCTCGTGGTCTAGCAATCCGATTCCCATCATACGCAAATCATCGCAAACTAACTGTTTAGCTTCTGCTATAATTATTTGTGCAGCTTCTTTTTCGCTAAGTGCATTTTTAGAGCCAATTACCCAAATTCCTTCGTTTTTGGCACCATTCGAAACATTGTCGCCATTAGTCTCTGTGACATGGCCCTTACCGTTCTTTTTACTTTTAAATGGAGCTCTGTTGTACAAAACTTGTTCCAAGACATCTGGCTGTGCATTTGCCAAATGCACAATAGTGTGATAGCCAGCACTAAACAGTAGCCTTGCTCTCTGTGCGTTCAGAACTGATATCCTGACAAGTTCAACTAACTCTTGGTGCACTCCAAAATTAAGTCGACTCTGGAAACTTCCAAGCAGCATGGCCAGATTCTTCCAGCCGAGACGGTGGCAGAAAACAGTGACCATTCCTGAAAAGGTGGCTGCACTCTGTTGAAGTGTCTGAAGCTGACCCCTGCTCACACTAAACTTTGCCGAAACTTCGTTCAACGGTACTTCGTTGATCAGATCTAGCAAAACAAGTGCCGAATAAAACCTTTTGTGGACGTCTACTTTCGTGCGTTCTGAGCCCGAGGTCATGCTTAAGTTCCCCCTAACAGCCTTCGCTATAAAGCCTTCTTCTATGCCTACTAGCCTTGCTATTCGTTTTGAGCTAGGTGGTAGCGCTTCTAAAAGGTTCATGAAGTTCATCCACTCCATATTTGCAGACACTTCATGGCAATACAGAGGTGTGACTAAGTACACCAGGTGGAGGTCATCGTCTAAACAGAAGTTCCTTCTGGCTCTCTGCAGCTCAGCAAACACCATCAAACTCTGATGTGGGGGAAAGGAGGAGCTCAGAGCCGCCACTCCAAGTTGAGTCGGATACAAAAGTCTGCTTTGCTCAATATTCGAAACACCGTTACATCGGTTTTCATCATCACCCACGTCTTCGCTTTCTTTACTCGCATGAAAGCGAATGAACTCAAAGTTTTCCAAGTAACTAACGCACACACTAACTGGATGAATCAGACCATCCGACACATTGCCACCGTCAGGATTCGGAGCCTGGCTTTTTATATTTTGGAAGCCGGAGAGAACGAACTGGCTATTTACTTCTGCGGACTCGCGCATAGCAGATGCAGCATGGAGCAGTGTACTTTCAAAGTAACACTCTAAATCACGCTCTGTTTTTGCGATACCCGCCGCAATTATTTCCAATAACGCACGCTTTAGGGCATTTGTAACACCAGAACTGAAGTTCAGACAGCTTTCTACCCGCTTCAACTGTGAATTCATGAGCGATTCCCCTTTCCATTTTTCATTTGCTTTGCAGACCAGAATGCTCTCGCCAAAATTGTCAACTCCTTTCCTGCCTGCGCGACCGCACATCTGTTTATAACACAAAGTGTCCAGAAGCGAACCGTTGAAAACTGGTGTCCTGATTATCACTCTACGTGCGGGTAAATTTACTCCAGATGAAAGGGTTGACGTCGCAATTAAAACCCGGACAGCACCCGATCGGAATGCAGCTTCAATCACGTCTCTTTCGTCAAAAGTCAGACCAGCATGATGATACGCCACACCGTAATAGAGCGTATCACTTATCAATTTGTCCAACCCAACTGGACAATTTCTCAACTGCTTCGTGAAGTGTTCGTACTGTTCACGTCCTGAAGTGAGAACTGCACGAAATCTTTCCCGCTGCTCTTTTTTCGATTCTTCTATAGTTTGGACAGGTTGTTCTAGTATAAAGTGAAATCCTTTTCCTATTGTTATGGTCAGCTTTTCGCATCTGACTTTGGTGGGGCAGAAAATTAGCACCGAGTGACCGTCTGAAATAGTCTCGTAACACAGACCAATTAAATTATCCTCATCTACTATTTGCTTTATGTTCAGATTCGGAATTATTCGGATGTTCTGTGGATCTCCCTTCGCAAGGATCCTGTTGTCCAGTTTAAGACACTCCTGTAGTGGAACTGGTCTGAAATCTGTGTTGTATAGCGAAGCGTCCAGCCAACTGGCAATAACATCCAGATTTGGTAAAGTCGCACTCATTCCTAGAATCTGAGTATGACACAGTTCCTTGTTGTTCATATGCTTCATTATAAATATCAGCTTAGTTAGAAGAAGTTCCAACAGGTATCCACGATTGGGGTCTCCGACCATGTGCAACTCGTCAACCACTACCATTCCCAGAGAAGCCAACGAGTTGTCCGCTATCAAGCGATTCACTAAAGAGTTAGCCTTCTCTATAGTGCAAATTGCAATGTCGCAAACTGCTAAGCCGCCGTTCGGCTGCTCGCCGCCCATAAAGCCTTCTACTCTAATGCCGAGTCTTTTGAACAGTTTCTTCATATAGTAAACCTTCTCCCGCACGACTGAGACAAAAGGAAGAATGAATATGCACCTTCGATTGTTGTCTAGGATGCGTTTGATCATGACCAGCTCAGCGACCAAAGTTTTTCCGGCGGATGTCGGTGCACTGAACACTAGGTTCTTTCCCTGCAACACGCCAGTTGTGGTGAGGCACTCATATTGCCAGTCAAAAACAGTCGTAATTCCACATTGGGATTCATAAATTTCCGCAACCGCTTTTGGCAGCTTGAGACTCTTTATGGTTTTAGATGTCATCTTCTACATCAGGTACAAAATAGAGAGCAATATTCAATTACAACTGAAATGAAATAACACATAGCCAACAGACAGTTTGAAAGTGCCAGTGTACTGAAGAAAACCGTAAAACGACTAATTTTTCCGACCATTGAAAATGGAGAGGAATTTTGTACGCGCGTGTTTTAGTTTTCTTTCAAATTTTTGTCAGCAAAACTAACCCCCAAAAAAATTCCAAACAATTTCCCGAAAATAGAGAAAAACCGGTTTGAAATTTTTGATTTTTCGCCCTATCAATTAAAGTTCATTTTTGGAGTTTAAGCGCCATCTTAGAAATCAAAACCTTCAAAAAATCAACAATTTTCGGAGATAAAAAATGAAATTTTTTAAAATGATTTGAAAATTTAAACTTTTTTACGATTTGTTTTTCGTTTTTCTTGTAATTTTTTTTCAAAAAATGTTTTCCAATTTATCAGTTTTACTATGACTACGAATATGCTTAAGTTTTAGTTTTTCTGTTCACCACGCAAAAAAAAACTAGCACTAAGGCATAATCGTTTTTATCACAACACGCAGAAAAAAAAACGAAACTAATTTGAAAAATTTTTTTTCGTATTTTTGAGACTATGATCGTAACATTCTATGATACTTCAGAGTAACCGTCTATCCTTGTTTGGAATCATTTTCAAAGAAAAGCAGATGGCCTTAAAACTCTTCGAAATTCAAAAACCTTTAACGATTGAGACCTTTCTTAAAAAACAACTATTTTGGGGAAACTAGATCAATAGGTCATTTTTGAAGTTCCGCAAAAAAATCTTTTGTTAAATCTATTTTCTAAATTAAAATTCAGTCACGTTTTTTTGCATCATTTAAGCATTAGTCATCAAAGGGAATTATTTGTATTTTTTTATCAAATGAATTTGGATTGAACATGAGAAAAAAAATCAAAAAAGAATCAAGAAAAATCAAATTTGAGTATGATTGACTTTCAAATTTAAAAAAAAAAAATTATCACGTTGAAGTTTTCTAAATGTAAAGATCAAGCTATGCCCTGATACGAACTTCAATACCGATATAAAGAGTATCACCTCCTATTATCTGCACCATCGGCGCTCGAAAAGAATCGAACACTAGCCACCACCAAAAAACCAGATACAAAGACATAATGTTAAAGCAACAAAATAAAACAGATATAATGTTGTTCCTGCAAAATTTCCAACAAAAAATTATCACTCTTTTTCATCGCTTGTGCAACAAAAATAGGCCTAGTTGGAAAAAACCTGGATCAATAGGTACTTTTTACTCAACAGGGAAATCTTAAAATTAAAATCCACACTCTAGCTTAAAAATCATTCACGTTTTTCGCGCAATTTCCACTTTCTTAATTATAGAACGAATATTGACTTCCTTATAGGAAACTATCGTTAAGGGAATTGAAAAAGAAATTGTCAAACCACCAAAAGTCTAACTTTAGGCTGATCAAATTTGAAGACTTGTTTTCAGAAAAAAAACAAGTATACCTATACAAATGAAGGTCTTTACACAGAGGCGAAGCTGCGCTTCGCAAACACTTGCGATAACACGACCAAAAAGTAGCTCTATCAAGTTAATTAAGAAAAAGTATAAATAAGCCTCGATTTAGCAAAAACTCGGCTACGTGTAGGATTCCAGTCTGCGACATACTGCAATCAAGAAAATTTGACTCTCACGCACTATCCACTCAGCCACACAAGCTTAACAGAGAAACACTAATCACGAATAAAGCAGCTAGATTCAGGATTCGAATCTGCGACCTACTGCAATCAAACGATTTTGAGTCTCACGCACTATCTCCTCAGCCAAATACAAATAGACTCAATTTTGCAATTAATAATTTGGAATATAACGAACTGAAGTCATCCACACTAACTTTGCATATAACAAATCGCAAAGCATAAAGCCACATTATGTATAAATTATAGATTTCAAAAAATAGCGAGATAATATTGAGTTAGAAAACATCTGAAATCGAGTTTTTTTTTTATTGTGATGTTGTTCGAAACAAATAACAGTTTTTTACGGTTCATTTGATGAATTAAAAATTCATCAACTGTGACAATTTATTAATATTCGAATGTCCAAGCAAATGCTATCAAAAAACTGTAAAGGTGTCCCACCATTATTGGGGTGCGGCACCATAAAAGTGCCGCACCAATATTTGCATTTTAGGTTGGTAAAAAAGAAGGTTCGTACTAATACACTAGCTTCGCAAGTGTAAGCTAGTCCATTGACACAAATGGAATCTTTTTCTAACATGGAACAATCTACATAGCATAGCTACTATAGGTTGACTTCGAGTTCCATCCCGAAAGATGCCTCATGGAGACCAAGTTTCTAAGGTGGAAAAGTCGTAGTACCTGGTTGCAATATTCTTGCTGGTGGCAGATATGAGGACAAGAGTTACAAATATTTGTCTGAATTTGCAAAAACAAAGGAAAAAATGTACTAAAGTAGCTTTTGAATTATCGAGTTCTATTCATATATATATATATGACACGATATAAGGCAATAACACGATTTTCTAGTTAAATATAATTTAGTACATAAATTTTTTATTCGTCTTGTTCTTCGTCGTCACTTAGAGCTATAATGTCATCTCCGAAACCCTCCTCGATGTCAATTTTGAGCTGAGCCAGTCCAGTGATATCTTCCAAGAAAGAGGGTTCATTGAACACTTCAAACAAGAATTGTTGGTCTCTATCTTTGTACGCAGACAACACAGATGGACTACAAGCCACACACTTAGAATAGGCTTCTACATATGGTGTGATCTGCTTATACTGCTGTGACAGCCACCCTCTTATTTGGTGGGGCACTGGACCTAGTGGAAGATCACACGCCCCTTCATCTGATTCAGACAAACTTGCAGGACACTTGGCACCTGAGATGAATTGACAGCCAACTAATTAACATTTTAAGAATCTAATGCTATTATTTAATAGCAGTGCTGAGAGTCAGTAAATCGAAATGAACTCGAGCTAACAAAAAAATTGAAAATCAATGTTATGCAATCAGGTGCAAAAGGAAAAAACAATAATAATAGTCACCTAACTGATTCGAGACACATGAGGCGAACATCTCAACTGCGAGGCTGCTGGCAATCATGGAGGTGCCTGGTCTGGTCACAGTGCACTGTTGATCCAGGGTCCTGTCAGACAGAGAGTCTCCAGGGGCCATCACGTCACTGCAGAAATAGCAACCCAGTTCACTGCTCTTCACTATAGCAGACGAAGAGGAAGATGGAACCGTGGAATCACCATTCGCACAACTGTTCGCATCTAAACAAAAATATTTTTGATAGAACTGAAACGCTCCTCGATGTCAATTTTGAGCTGAGCCAGTCCAGTGATATCTTCCAAGAGGGTTCATTGAACACTTCAAATAAGAATTGTTGGCCTCTATCTTTGTACGCAGACAAAACAGATGGACACGAAGGTTAGAAAAAACAGCTGCTTGCGGAAATACAACTGAGAAACTCTCTTTTTTACGCCGGGCTTCAATTCAAGCATCTTCAAATGTACTTTTTGACCAAATTTTATTCAACTTAGTTGGAAACAGGAATTTGAACCTCACCGTCCATTGACACTCCATGTCTCATCACCAAGTACGAATCGAATCCTAGGGCAGCATTGACGACTAGTTTGCCATGGAACTTGCCCAGTACTGTGGGCAACCATCTTGCTTCCCTACTGTCCAGGAGAAGGAAGATACAGTCGTGTCCAGCCACCAATTCATCCAATTGAGTCAAAGTATGTTGCACCTAGAAATGAAACTTTTCCTAATATTGGGGTCAATGACGCTTTTCGGGTATCTTAAAAAGCTGAATGCTTAACTTTTCATCCTTGGTAATCGACAGAAAGTTGAACGTGGAGCTGCTGTACGCACCTTTTGCTTCTCTATTTGGGCCACAGCATGGCCTGGCATGGGAATGCTCATTTCCAAAGCTTCCACCTCACAACTCGGGTTGATACGCTTGAGCTGTCTGGCAGCCGCCTCCACTTTCGAAGTCGATCCCCCCATGGCATCTTCAAACACAAACAGACTCTGTCGCACAGGGTTCGAATAGGACACTCTCCCGTTGTCCACCAGAGTGAGTTTGGTCACACCCCAAGCTAAGAGTAGGCGTGCCACGTTGCAGCCAAGAGTACCAGCACCTTGAAAAACATCATATAACCATTAATTTCAACATCCTTTTTCTGAGAAAACCGTAAGTTCAAGTTGGGAGGTACAGTTTCACAGACAAATTAAGCCTCTTTAGTCTCTCAAATCTGTAGTCTCTCAAATCTTTAATAATAATCATTGTAGTTCCTGCGAATCGCAGAGGAGCTATCAGTAGGCCTTAACAGTCCTGTCGAGGATAGTCCATTTGTATTATCTCCCCACATTCCAGACAGTGTTATTTTTGCTGAGCGAAGCTGTGTTTTGCGACTCACGGCCGTTTTTTTTTGCGTCTACAACTTTTACGTGGTACCACTCTTGCAGCCAAATTTGGTCAGGTTGTGGTAGACCTGAATCTGGAGGTCAAGTGAGAGCTTGTCCTGACACACTATCATTGCCATGGCATGGGATCGAATACACGATCTGAGGATTTCAAAGTGAACGCCTTACCACTGTACTAAGTGCCTCTGAAACAGGTATGTAACAAAAAGAACAAAAAAAACTATTGCTGCGCAAGCAAATAGCTTTTTTGAAACAGGTATTGAAACAGGTATGTAACAAAAAGAACAAAAAAAACTATTGCTGCGCAAGCAAATAGCTTTTTTGAAACAGGTATTGAAACAGGTATGTAACAAAAAGAACAAAAAAACTATTGCTGCGCAAGCAAATAGCACAGAATGTTCCACAATTTAAGAAGAGAAATTCAAAAGAAAGGACTAATTGTTGCGATAAACTAAATACATAGTTTCAGAAATAAGAAAGAATACAGGTAAAAGGAAAAAACAACAGAATGATGTGGTGCTGGAACCTGGCTTTTTTAGTATGAGGTTTCAATATCAGAAAGCAATCTTCAAGAAAAATAACATGAGCCTTTGGGCTATTTAAAGCCAATATCAGAATGAAGAAATTCCAGCTGATAGAATTTCAGAAAACCTTGGTGAATGTCGAAAAATGATATCAACTTTTCCACCAACAATATTGTTGCAACTACAGACCGAAGTGAAAATCATCGTCAATAAAGCAATTCATACAGCCTTGCAACAGCAGTTATCGATATTATGACGGGATTGGCACAGATTTCATCCAACTACAGATTTCGTCCTACTTATTTAATTAACTGATTTCGTCCTAAACAGATTTCGTACCATATCCAATCATCCCATATACAAATTTGTGTGACGAAATCTGTGTACGCTTTGAAATGTGACGACGAAATCTGTTGAAATTAAAATGGGACGAGATCTGTCATGGGAAAAAATCTGTCACAGCCGATAACGGATATCAAGCGAGAAATGGAACAGCAACAATTTGCCGGCAGTCTGAAATCTTTTTTTTTTGGGAGCGCAGCTACTGAAAACTGTCGGAAAAATCTGAAGATTATCAGATTAGAAGAAACGCTTATGGTAAACGGAAACCGAGAAAGCATAGAAACTATCAGTCAAAATGTTGTGTCACTTGCAAGCCAGCTTAATGTAGAAGTAACCGTTAACAAAATGTCGATAATTCATCGACCTTCATAAACTAAAAATGAAATCTTGTCTGGGTAAAAGCGAGACACTTCGTATTCGGATATTGGAGATAGATGTCGAGCGCGATTCAGTTTGATGAGTAATGACAACCCTATGCATTGAATCTGGACACAGGATGGGGTCTAATTTATTTGATTTGATAACAAAATTTACACAGAGGCGAAGCGCAGCTTCGCACCACTTGCGATTAAACAGTAACATAAAAACATGTCGAAAAAATGAAAAATGTAGAAAAAACTAGCTCTACCTAAAATTAAACTTCCGTTTGTCTAGACTAACATGCCAGAAATTAAAAAATTAAATTAGCAACGGAGCAAAACTTAAGAAGCGGGAATAAAGCTGGCAATCTTTGAGCAGACAAAGTTGAGCAGAAAAAAGTATGATTTCAGAAAAAAACCTTAACAGTTTTAAGACCCACCTAAGACTAGAATGATTTCAACTATAAAAGAAGTTGCCTGCAGTACAAGAAAAGAAAAATCAGTGATGCGGCAACTAAGCCGACAATCTTTGAGCAGACACCAGTTGAGTCGAAAAACAAACTGATTAAAAAACATTGGAATAGTTTCAAGTCCACCTCCCTGAATCTACATAGAACAACACTTGCACTTGCAATGAAAGCTTCATACAAGATAAACAAGATTTGTGATATGGCAACTAAGACGACAAAATTTTAGCAGAATAACGGAAGTCCAACAATTCAATCTTTACCGATTTTTTTTTCAAGTGCATATATTATGAAAAAAAGGTCCAGCCGAGAGTCGAACCCCAGAGCTTAGAATACAAAAGCGACGGCGTTAACTCAAAGTCAAGTGAGAATGAACCTGGAAATTGTAAAGCTTCAATAAGAAAGCAAGTTGAGAAAAAGTGTACGAAAAGTTGTTTACTGGAATCTTTTTCCCGATTTCAAGACACTTGCTCTCGCAAGTGTAACCACACCTGATGTTGTCAAACAAAAATTTTTGCCATCTAAACAATGCACTATAAGTTCATTATGCCATAAAATAAAAGCTAAAACCATTTAATCAAAAAAAATACTTATAAAAATAAAATTATTTAAAATCAGATCTGGTAAGTTACAAACTTTCATTTGGAAAAAAATCAAAATTAAGGTAAAATCAATGCATAACAAAAAAATCGAAAAATCAGTACCAAACAAAACAAATCTCAATGAAAAAACGGGAAATTAAACGACAAAACTAATAAAAAAAAGAAAACCAATCCGAAAAAAAATCAAAAAAAATTTCAAGAAAATTATTTGAAAAGAAACTAACGCCGGAAACGGACTACAACTATTAACTATTTAAATGAAGGTACTTTTAATTGAATTGTCAAGAAACTGAGCATGCCTGATATTTAGCATGTCTGAAATTTACAATTCCTACACCTTTGACCAGTCTGTGCTTAAAATTATTTACGGAAAAAGTCTAGTAATCGATTGCAATACCCTTGCTTATCGCAAAGGTAAGCAAAACTGATCGTATTACAGCAAAGCCCCAAATGTTCCGAGTGTTTTTAAGGTCAATAGAGTAGTGTTCAATTAAGAAAAAAATTAGAAATAAAAAAAAATGGAAAAACTCAATTCTTTTTTGGGATTTTTTGAAAACCATGCCTCCACACGCTATGTTAAGTACAAATTGATATATTTCGCATATGGCAAAATATTAAATACACCAAAGCGCGGTCAAAAAGTTGTTGCAAATAGAATTAAGACAGTTGAATCTCAACTTACGCGTTAATAGCACGAAATATATCGCTTTAATTAATTGTTCCAAGTTGGCCATTTTAAAACCCTTATAACTTTCCGAAAAGTGATCACAGGTAAAAATCTTTTTGAATTTGAGCTCAAGACAACAAAAAATTTTGAAGGACATTTTAAAAATCCTGTCAAAACTTGGAGTTAAAAGTCGAAATTTCTGTGGAGAAATAAAAAAAAATACTGAGCACAAATATATTGCACATTCTTCAAAAGTCGGAATAATTATGCGTTGAGGAAAACGCTAAGATTGAGGAGCACAACTAATGAAATATATCTGTCGTCTAAACTCATGTTTTCATAGTTTTTGGACAACATTAGTTTTAAACTCTGATTTATCATTTTTGATTTATATCTTTATTATAAGAACAGAGACTACGGAGAGCTCCAAATAGACAAAAAGCTCGGCACAAAAAATATCTTCAAATTTTGAAAAAACAAGAAGCCTTAGTTTTATTTTAGAAGCAAAGCAGCGCTTGACAAACACTAGAGCAAAAAACGACAAAAAAGCAGCTCTATAAATTGAAAAAATAAAAATTAAAAATAAGCCTCAAATTCGTATAACTTTTGAGCTCTTTTTCGGCCTACAATTGTTATTCATCACGCATTCAGCCACATTAACACGTAAGAAAACTAACAAATGGAAAATTATGTGAGGGGAGTGGAAAAATTCAACTTTTTCTGCGCGACGGATTCGGACCAGCGACCTAGAGATAAAGAGTCTCACGATCTTCCTACTCGGCCCCGACGTTTATCGATCGGCAAATACTAGCCACAAATGAAGCAGAGAACAGATTCTTTGAAATTTTTAAGGCAACAGCTCTTGATTATAGCTAAAGAGCCACCAAATTGAGCTCTTTTATTTGCGAGTTAGGTTGGGAAAAAAGTAGAGTCATAGTTATACACTGAGCTCGCATGTGTAAAAATCAAGCTCCAGCAAAAAAAAAATAAGATAAGGGGAGCTTGTTGAATTGATACGGAAGCCTTCAATATCAACCAAATTAATCTTTTAATTCTTTTACGATAAAATTTAGCCATGAATCAATGAAAGCAAGTAAACAGAAAAAATACTGACTTTCTGTCTTTCTAATTTCGAATACCTCCAAATTTCCAAGAGAAAAACAGATGACCTTAAACTCCTAAGACAATTTATGCTTGACATTTTGTGATAAAATTAACCCAATTTGACATTGCTAGATCAATAAGTAACATTTAAGTTCCGCTGGGAAATCTGATAATCAACCTCCACTTTCGAAATTAAAAATCAAAAACGTTTTTTGTGACCTTTACACTTTTGCTGTTTGATAGTGGAGTTTGCCTTCCTTTGAACACACGAAAAGAACTCAACTCGAAAAAAAATTAAAAGTTGAAGCAAGAAAAGATAAATTTGAGCCTGAAATTTTCCGGAAAAAAAACACGAAAAAAACCATCTCGACCAATATAAGAGTCTGCGCTCAAGTCAACAACTATGAAGCCAAAAAACCAACAGTAGAAAATTAATAACAAAACTCTATAATTATACGTACAATGGTTTGAGTTCTAGATATACCATGGGTAGTAACTAGTACGTGGTTGTTATATTTGAATTTTCATGAAAATGAGCATGGCAGCAGTATAGCAGCATCATAAAAGATTCGACTGATTTTATTAAACTAGCTGTTAACCCAAAAAAACCTGTTCGATTTGATAACGCATGCTATCGCAGGCGTGAAAT